AAAAAACCTTTATCCCGGGCACCAGCCTAGGGCAGCACCTCGCAACACAAGAGCACGGCCCGGCCAGAAACCGCCGACATCCCACACCCCCCACACCCCCCCATGACACCAAAAGTTGGGGTTCAGCCCCTGCGCTGAACCTTTGCGAGAGTCACGGTTCAGCCCTCGGCACCTCCAGCGTCATCTTTTTTATTTTTTTTTTTTTTTATTCCCTCCCACTCCCAGGAGGTTTGGCCAAAGTCCAGGCAGCCAGGAAAGCGCCGGAATGACCCGGGTGGTGATGCCCATTTCTCCCCTCTAAGGTTGTCTAAAGGCAAAAGTCCACTCGGTCTTGATCTTCAGCTTTCTGTTGCAGCCCGAATTTGAGGGATATGCACCTGTTGGTGCTTAACAGGTGCGGAAAAATACCCCAAAACACCCCAATATAGATATATGCCTTCACCCCAATGTATATATATATATATAGATGCCTTCACCCCAATATATATATAAGCCTTTATCCCAATGTATATATATATGCCTTCACCCCAATGTGTACATATATATATATACACACCTTCACCCCAATATATATATATACCTTCACCCCAATATATATATATACCTTCACCCCAATATATATATATATATACATGCCTTCACACCAATACAAACATATACTTTGACTTAAATTATTTCTTTAGACTTAAATTCCAAGCAGGACCGTCCTTCAAAGCACCATTGTGATGTTCTCTGGCCCGTTGGGAACAAGAAACGGGAGAAGATGAGCGTAGGTAGCACCTTGACGTTTTATTTCCAGCACGTGGGCTGGGAACAATCTGGGAGGTTTCAAACCCACCCCGGTGACTTCTCTTGCTTCCCGTGGTTTGCAGGAGCAGCAGCGCTCACACGCAGACAAGACAAACAGGGTGTAACACCCTGCCTCCCGCTAATACCTTTCTTATTCTAGGGATTTTTATTTCTTTATGTAATTTCTACAGTGGCAAGGCTTCAGCAGTGGGTGGAGCTTAGAATAATTCAGGCATTTTGCTCACCTCTTCGTGGCTTGACCTTTGTAAGAGCTGCTGCAGCTTTAAATAATGTGAATGTAAAGCCAAGCTCATTAAAAAAAAAAAATTAAATATGTGGAGTCTCAGGGTAGGAAACAACCCGCCAGCTGAAAATGGAGATGTTCGTGCCTAAACCAGTCGCCCCCAGTTCTTTTTATGACTAACGGTGTCTTAAATTCACCTGATCCCACGTTAATGCGTCTCGTAAGGGATGGATTGTGCTTCATCTCCGGTAGCTCCTGGCTGGATTTCCATTATTTGGGACAGAGCTACGGGCTCAGCTGCGCACAGAGAAAACCTTCAGCGGTGCCTGGGAAGATACACCCGTAAAACTGGGAGGGGAAAAGTAACCCACACCTCTTCGCCGAGGTCGAAACACGTTTTCTTACAGATTCACCCCCCTTCTGGTCCATTTGGGTTTTGGTGTCCCCTTTTGCACAAGTCAGGCCACTTTCTAAGGTGGCCTTTGGCAGCGCATCTTCACACCCAAGGGCACGAGCTGATGGAAGCAGCTGGAGGTG